ATTTCTTCTCCTCTCCTCTTCTTCTTGTGCTCTTATTGTGGCAGCACCCACTCCCCTGCCCTCATGCTCTCAATTAGCTCGGGAGTTCATGCCACTTCCCATTCCTGGGGTCCATTTATCCCTTAGAGTCATTCATGATTCCTAGTTTCTTTGGGGAATAATAACTTTTAAACACAATACTTTTAAGTGATTCAGTGTGTCATTATAGACATGCCAGACTGTTATTTTCTTTTCTCAAAGACTGAACACTTAAAAAAATAATGGAACAGAACTCTTCTCTGTCTGTTCACATGGCTGTTTTTGGTAATAGCCGAACATATTATAAAGCATGTTTTTCTTTAAATTTCCCTTACTGGTAGATATTTTAATTTTACTTGACTATTTTCACAAAGAACGATTTTACTTTTAATTGTGCATCTCTGTGTGTGTCTGCTGGTACCCACAGGGCCTTGGTCTTGTCTTACATTTTATTTGGCTGTTATAATCTTTCTACCCCTCTTCCATGATGTTCCCTGAGCCTCAGGGGCAGGGTGTAGGGTATAGGTGTTCCATTTGTACTTGAACACTCCATAGGTACTTATTCTCTTCACTTCGACCAGTAATGACTTTCTGAATTTATTGCTGTGAATGGCAATCTTCTTTATTTTTATTTTTTTGAGTTAAGGTTTCTCTGAGTAGCTTTGTAGACCGGGCTGGCCTCGGACTCATAGAGATCCACCTGCCTCTGCCTCCCGAGTGAGTGCTGGGATTAATGGCGAGCACTACCACCCAGCTGTGAATGGCATTCTTAATTGGTTGCTATTCCAACTAGCCATGGGAACCCAGGACTAGTTAACTTGACTGGAGAGGGGACTTCTAATGTGTTTGATATTATGGAAGAGAATTAACCTTATAAAGTTATTTGGCTTGTATAGCTGGTAGAAATGATTAGAACTGGCTTTGTAGTTGATATAAGATAAATATATTATAAATAAATTTTCTGGATAATTCATGTTAAGAGTCAATCAGACGCTTATAAGAGAGGAAGTAGTCTCCTTTACACTGATGATGACATATACTTTGGAATTAAGTCATTAAGAAATGTACAGGATTAGGAGAGAGCATGCCTAGAGTACCCTAATGAGAGATTAAGTGTGGACTCAGTGGTAGAGCTCCTGCCTAGAGTCCTCCAGTGAGGGGCTGGGAGCATGGTTCATTGCTTGCCCAGTGTGCACAAGGCTCTGGGTTCAATCCCAGCAATGAAAAAATATGTAGGATTTCAATAAATCATTTCATGTGGATAAAACTAGGTCTGAAAAACAGAACATTTGTGATATCCTTGACATAACCTCATGCCAATGTTGCTTTTCCTCAGACTAACATAACTATTAATGTCGTTTTCTAGAAGAGTCTGTCTTAAAGCCTAAGATTGAAATGAACTTTACTTAAATTTTTATTTCCCAGATTCTATCATTAGAAAGTCAGAGATAGAAGGTAAGTTGATCAGAAAATTTTCATTATTAATGTGTGTTCTTCCTCTTAAAACTTTTTATTCATCATTTTTTTATTTATCTTACATACCAACCACAGTTTCCCCTCCCTCCTCTCCTCCTGTTCCCTCCCCTCACCTCCCTTCTACCCTACCCCCATCTACTCCTCCTGTGTTTCCATTCAGAAGGGCTAAGGCCTCCCATGGGAATCACCAAAGCATGGCATACCAAGTTGAGACAGGACCAAGATCCTCCCCCCTGCATCAAGGCTGAACAAGGCATCCCACCATGGGGAATAGGTTCCAAAGAGCCAGCTCATGAATCAGGCACAGGTCCTGGTCCCACTGCCAGGGGTCCCACAAAGGATCAAGTTACACAACTGTCACCCACATGTGGAGGGCTTAAGTCGGTCCCATGCCAGCTCCCTAGCTGTCCATCCAGAGTCCGTGAGCTCCCACAAGCTCAGGTCAGCTGTCTCTGTGGGTGTCCCTGTCATGATCTTGGTCACTGCCCCTTGTTTATGCAAGTCTTCCATCCTCTCTTCAACTGGATCCCAAAGCTCAGCCCAGTGCTTGCCTGTGGATCTCTGTATCTACTTCCATCAGGTACTTGATGAAGGTTGTATGATGATAATTGGGGTAGTCACCAATCTGATTACAGGGGAAGGCCAGTTCAGAAACCCTCTCCAATATTGCTAGGATTCTCAGCTGGGGTCATCCTTGTGGGTTCCTAAGAGTTTCCCTGGCACCAGGTTTCTCCCTAACCCCATAACGGCCCCGTCTATCAAGATATCTCTTTAGTTACTCTCTCCCTCCATCCTGCTCCTTTCCTGATCCCTCATTCTCTTACATTTTTATCTTTAATTTTATTTTATGTGCATGGGTGTTCTGCTTGTCTGTATGTCTGTTCACCATATGCATGCCTAGTGCATGAGGAGGCCAGAAGAGGCCACCAAATCTCCTGGAATTGAAGTTACAAATGATTGTGAGCCACTATGTGGGGCCTGATAACTGAGCCCAGATCCTGTGGAAGAGCATCCAGTGCTCTTAACGACCGAGCCATCTCTCCAGTGCCATTGTGTTCTCTTCTGATTCCATAGTGATTTTGCTTCTAGTAAATATTTTCTTCTCTCCTTTT